ATGTATGCGCGAACGAGAAAATGTTCAACTCTTGCAAAATCATATTGTGTATCGTCGGAAGATAACGAACCGATTGCTTTATACGTGATAATATGTATTATAAATAACGCTGATGTATGTACAATATGCTGTCATGTCAAGGTAGACAGCAGAGTTACATGCTTCACGTGTGAGTGATTTAAACCTGAGCGAGTTCAAGTCAGAAAGGAGCGATCGGTTAGTTTGAATTTTAACAGTCTACAGTACATCGTCTACAGTATACATTAGAATGTGTTAAAAAATTAACAGAATGAGATAAACCACACAATAATAAAAATTGTTGGTTAATGTTTTGCAGCATTAATATAAAACGAGCCTCATATTTATCAAACGATAAAAACTCTCCTGCTCGTCTTTCTCTCGTCGTAAATTTACGTAAACGTATATTTATACCGCCTGTATGTTGCAGACTTAATTTCAGGTAATTACTCCTGTTGGAGGTTAATCGCTTCAAATATGAGTTTACACATTATGATGTGTGTACAGACGCCACCGCGTTTCTGCATCGAATTATCATTCTTGCGCGATTGCAAAATGCACACGCAATTAGCGTGCGTTTACATTACTCTGTAAATCAACAATAAGAGAATCAATTGCGTATGTACGTCACAAGATGCAAAAAAAAACGTTGCATCGCGCTATGAGAGATAAAACACCGTTCGATTTTGTCCCGCCGTTTCCGATTTTATTTTGCGAGCCGCGATATCGCGCATTCGTTAACATTAAGATACTCCTAGCCAGTCGTCTTATCGGAACTTTCGTTCACGTTTTCGCGATAGTGTTGCACTAATAATTTTTTTCCAACTTTGATATTCTTGCCGTTAGTTATGCGCAGAGAGAAAGAGAGAGAGAGAGAGAGAGAGAGAGAGAGAGAGAGGAGGGGGGGAAGAGGAAGTAACGCTCTGGTCTAGCATCGACCTTAAAACTTCGATATTGCATTTTGCGAGCAATATGCTTCTTTGTCATCAATTCTTTAAGAACCGGAGGGATTCATAAATTTTGTTCCGCACCGTCGACGCGGGCGTCGCCTCGTAAAGTTGCATGTTTTCTGCACCCATTACCGCGAGAGGAAGGTATAGTGCGAGTCGATATTATCCGCTATATGAAATTTCCTTAGACTATATTAATCGTAATACCACTGTGGTGTTTTAGCAAACCGGCTGCTATTATGTCGGAAAATAGTTCGTCACGCAGTAAAAACTCAACGAGGTTTCGTGATTAGACAATCGGACAAAATAATATCGCAATAATAATTTGCAGCGAGTTTATCAATGTGCGCGTGGGCGTGTTGCATTGTCCTCCGGAGAGTCTAACAGTCGTAAATACAGTTCGTACAGATATATTTCACACAGCGCTGATGATAAATTGTAAATTGCTAGCATGTGAGTCAACAGGAAAGCAATATAGGTTTATCCCTTGTTTGAGCCTTGTCACCCCTTATAGGTCCCGCAGTAAATAGCTTAATAACAATTTCTCTGTGAAATTTCAAATTTCTCTTTATACATATTAGAACTTGATCGAAAAGAACTTTATCCGTTCCGCCAGATTAGACTCGTACATTTAGAGAGGATACCGCAAGACTGTCGAACTCTTGCTCGCTGATGCGCTAGACGCGAGAGCGTGCAGCACGCAGAACTTGATCGGAAACGTGGAGGAGAATGGACAGGCACGCGATTATACTGGGGCTAGTTGAATATCCGTTTGTAGATGCGGGTCAAAGTGCGATCACGTCAGAATCTCCTATTTGCCGATATTCATTCGCCCGATGGTAGCTTTTTGTTGAAAAAATATGAACGACACACATGGCTCGTTCGTTGGAGCGTTCTCAGCTCTTCCCTGACATGCACTTTCTCTGTCTCCGTTTTTCTTTTACGACGATATATGACGCGATCAATGTGGCTTTGGCATGTAACTCGAAGACAAATAGGAGTCTCTTTGAAAAAGTGAAAAAAAAAAAAAAAAAGAGAATAGCCGGCTCAACGTTTTTTTCGGCGTATCGTGTTTTCTATGCAAACCGTTTACGCACGTCGGTTCGCGTGGTACTAAACCGTAGACACGTGCCGCGTGAAAAATGCATGAGAATCAAGTTACGCGAGTACCGACGACGCTATTGTACATTGAATATTTTGCCGCGGCGTGTTAGATCGGCAGCAGTCACGAGGCCGGACTGGGAAATCCGGAAGTGCGCTTGGCGCGGCTATTCTCTCAAAGCGAATGCGAAAAGTTACAAACGTTATCCACGTTGCGCGCGCGCGCCTCGAAACCTCACCCAAGGGGGGCAAAGATACTTATTTGATAAAAGTTTCAAGGCGTTGGATAACCGTAGACCTGATTCTCGCCTTTTTCCCTTTATTTCACTTTTACTCCGTATCTTATCTGCGAATCTCACAAAGCGCGTGTCCCTTTGTTCGGAATTAATAAGAATGCACGAATAAATAATAATATTTATAATAATAATAACGAATAAAAATATTCAAGTGCGATGTCAAGGCAAGGGAAGACAAGAGGATCCGAGCACTTATTTTACGGACGCGTGTGAATTGACAAATCACTATCAGCTTGATGACGAATTATCGCGGGATATCAGAATGCTATTCCAGCTAATGGCAATTTAAACGACGGCTCTGTTAATCCTCGAGTAATTTCCATACGAATAACACGGACGTTGATTTACAATTTGACCAGTGTGAAGCGATGGAGCTTTCATCACGGACGAATGTTATCGTGTTTATTTTACGGAATACCCGACCACGGAGATTTGCATAGCATCTATGGAAAATTTCCAAATGACACCGTCGTCGCCGAGCGCCGCGAGAGCCGAGCCTTCGAGAGGGAACGTGAAAAGTTGCGAACGGTTGCGCGGCGGTATCCTCGACGGAGAATCTCTCTCGTTCCATGAGCGTCGGCGGTGCCGTGCGCGCGCGGATAAATAGAGTTCCTGGAGGTCCAACGAGGAGAGAGATCGATGGAGCCACGTCGAATCAGTCGGTGCGCCCGAGCTATTTCCTGCGTGCATTCTCGCACACTATCCGACCGCGCGTATTTCGCTCGCAGCGAGAGCGGAGAGGAGAGGTTCTTTCGGTCGACGGCGACGACGATAAGTTTCGCTCGGCTGCAATCTCCGACGAGAGATCCACGAGAGAAGAATGGGGGGGGGGGGGGAGAGAGAGAGAGAGAGAGAGAGAGAGAGAGGGAGAGAGAGGGGCCACGTTTTACCGGTTAGTAACGAGGCGTCGTCCTGGAAATGGGCCTCGCCTCTACTCGTGACTAGGGAAGAAGCGGCTGACTTCAACCCGCTTTTATGTACGTACGTAGCTAGCCGTCCGAACTTGGTGGCAAGCGTTAAATCTTCGTCGCGGCTGGCTCACCGGGTGGTAGATAGCGGCAAACGTTGCAACATAACGCACGGTTGTTTATTTTTACAGTTGCGCACTCGTGCCTTAAACCGCAACGTGGGAAACAGAGCCCGTGCGTCCGCATGGAACGCTGCACTGCAGCGGACGGTGCTTCGTCAGGAACCGGCCGATGCTGCTGGACGCAACCATGAGAGCCGTGTCATACGTGTACCTCTCTCATAAAACGCGAACGCCACAACCGCCCCGTGTTTCACTCGTCGTCGCGAGCATTCTCTCGCGAGCCATTTACTTAACCGCAATACCCGTCTTTTACGATCCTGAGAATCCTCGAACGTGGCGAACGACTCTCAGTTTCTCGTATCGGTTGAATTTAGCACGCTCCTGATTAAGTGAACGAACGAACGAACGAACGAACGAACGAACGAACGAACGAACGTACGTACGTATGTACTCGCTTCCCTCGCGAATACTTCGGATTCGTTTTAGATTTATACATCGCAGCGCGCGATCTGAAATCTCTCTCGCGGCTTGCGCGCGATGGCTTGCGCTTTTTTGCTCGTCGTCCCGCCGCTAGGAAAAAGGAAAGGAAGCGAGGTCTTTGCACGTTACAATTTAGGTAACCTTGCGAGAATTCGCGATCAGCTCGAACTGTCGTGTGGGAAACAAAAAAAACGTGCAAATGCACACAACGCGGAGAGATCTCCGTTCCGCTTTTCCAATCAATGAGAGTCCCCCCCCCCATGTATGTATTCTACGTCGCGCTTGTCGTCGAGAGTATTGAGTAAGCTTCGAGCAGGGGAAAACGCTTCGTTTGAGTCAGACACGTGATACAAACTGGATGATACTGCCGTCAGCTGTACGTGCGGAATTCTAATCCCACCGGGCTCGATTTACAAAACTTCTCGCGCGATTTTGCGGCAACGATCCTTTACTCGGTTACGTGCAGCGGCGATGTACACCGATTGTTGTTGAATCACGTCCGATGCACCTCTCGATTCAAGTAAGTCTCTTCGTGAAACACGACGAAATTGTTCACTTAAACCAAATACGTGACGCGCGACACGCGATACGTAAAAGCGGGGGAAATAGATTCACGTCGCTACGACGGACGAAGGCATCGGCGCGAGAGACGCATTGCGGTCTCGATCTACAATCCGCGAAGTGAAACTCGCGGGAGGTGTTTCAAAGAACCGGATAGATGGTTTCCGAAACTATAATTAACGCCGCGATTAACGACTCCTGTAGTCCCGCGAGTTAATTGAGAACTTGCTTCAAGAGCGATCGCAGTGAGAATACACGCGACACATTATTATTCACCGAGAACCATCAGTTTCGAGAACGTTCCAAGTTCTCATTTGTTACACTCAATAAACAATACGTTTCGTCAGTATGTTCCGTGATTGTCGTATCGTAATAGTTGACAGGCGCATTACGAAGAGTAACGAGAATCGAAGATTCGGACAAAAATGTTGAGGTTGAGGTTGAGGTTATGATCGCTCGGAGCTGTGAATGACCGAAGCTTTAATATAACGTGCGCACTCGGATTCCTAACTATTTACATAAGCAGTATAGCCGTTACTCTTTTCGTTAAAAAGTCACACTCACCGTCTCGCGTCGAAATTCGCCGATATATCTCGCCGAGTCATCCTCACGCACGTCCGCTCAGTTGACAGGCCCAAGATCCCAAGTAAATAGAGAAACGGGACAATTTGGCGCGAAAATGGTGACGACCGTGGCTCAACCATAGACGTATAATACCTAGACCGCGCGGTCGCGACATCTCCCTTTGCTAGAACGCGTCAGAAATTAGAAAGAGATAGTTGCCGTACCATTCTATCTTTTTCTAAAGACGCGTGGTAGGGCAAAGGAGAGTTTGGCGACGGACGAAAAAGGTAGCTAGAAGGGAGTGGAACGATACACGTAATCCCCACTTCAAACATTATCAGACGAAGACAGAATGGTATCCCAAAGCATGCTCTCTCTCTTTCCAATATTTGACGAATTTTCGGCCGAATGCACGGTTTAGTTATTATACATTTATGGGCTCACTGATTAACCATGTACCGTCGTGTCAAAAATTATTTCCGTTCTTTGCAATTTTTTGTACTACAGTCAGCATTGTAATTGTTTTTCTTTCGAAAATTCTCACTGGTACTTTGGAATATGTTTAAACTATGTTTCGATTACTTCTGATTACATCTTAAATTATATTTTGATTATTCTGTTCACTCACACAATTAAACCATAATATACTACACGTACATAGTATCACGTACACCAACACAGATTCTCATCATGAGAGGACCTTTCTTTGTGCCGTTTCTTTATTTACAGACCTTGGATAGGCCCACCGGCGAAAAGACGTTGGCAGTGTTTATGTTTACTGAAGTGAGATACGCGTCAAAGTCGCAGGGTCGCAGCGCCGCGGCGACTCGCGCGACGTTCAGTATGATGACAAACGAAGAAGATTCTAGGCGCGCTCGACGCAATTATGCGGCCATTTTGATCTCTGCGGCGGACGGATGAGCACGGTGGACGGCGTTCTTCGCTATTTCCGAGTTTCTCACATGAATCGGAGGTAATCATATTGACAATTTCGTATATCTCTGAACGTTTATGTCGCGGTGAGCATACTGATCATCGTGAAAAACGTTTTCGTCGTGAAATATATCTGATAATTATTCCGTTTTATGAATTCTTTAAGACGCAGTACTCGACGCTGTCTACTCGATATTCCTTTGGCCGAGCTGAATAACCGGGTTCGTTCTAACCTAATTTAATCTGCCTGCTCGTCAGTGTGATCTTTTAATTGCCTTAAGCAATGTACAAAACATTGAAATATTACGATTACGTTACATATTGCGGTTAAATATTGCGATTACATTCGTTGAGAAAAAAAAAATATTAATTATTCGTGAATATATTTCGTTCGGACACATATCGATAAAATTTCACGTTATCTCGTTTCCGGGTTTTTATTTCAAGTTTTTATGTTACGATTATGTTTACAAATTTCGTGAATATACAAGATATTATGGAAGTATTCACAAAAATATGCGATTGTTGCTTCGCGAAGATTTTTACTCACATTTCGCGAGTCACGAGTGACTTAGAAGAGCCGAAATTTATCTTACGTTTCGTCAAACTATTAAACGTGATCGAAATTATCGCGGTTGCGAGTGAAATGCAATGTGTGGAGTCAACGTGGGACGACAGCTGGGTGCTGAGGAAGCTCGACGGATGCAGACGGAGTTCTGAATGCAGTGATGGATCTCCTCGACGGCCCAAGTTGGGCGTCGATAGAATTTAACGAAATGGTGAGTGTATAATGACAACGCTTATCATATGATATAACGCATGAGTAATAAATCGCATCGATTCCTAATGAGAAATATAAGGACAATTACATTTTGTTGTTTAAGATTGTAAACACCTTCATGATTCATTTTATTCATGCCGAAAGTACAATATTTCGAATGATTACAAATAATAAATTTGTAGTTTAATTAAAATCTAGATGCAAAATTTTGATACAAAAATATTGATTTCAAAGCAATTAATTAGTAATATTGCATATATTTTACGTGAATTATTCTGAGATAATATTATAAATTTTACAAAATATAAATTTTCCAATGAAATTTCATCACAGAATTTTGTCCTTAACAAAGAATAGTGTATGTTTGTTATGTGCAATTCTATTTTTTCCATTACACTTGTTTTCTACTACATCGAAATGATTATGTTCTTATGTATTTCTCTGGAAACAATAACTTTATTATTATATGTCTTCACTCATTTTTATTATGTCTACACTATAATTATAATTTAACTAATATTATATATTTTCATCTGCTTTACTAAGAAATTCTCTTTCAAAGAAAATATAATTTTGACTTTTTAAATCTGCTCTTCTTAGAGCGATATTATAATTGTGCTCCTCAGAGGGCAAGGTACGTATTTGGATAAACTTACCTGAATAAGCGCGTACAATAATCGCTCCAGCTGTCCCTGAAATCAGTGACGTGAGAAACAAATTGAGACAAGAGGCTGGTTCTTGTAAAATGCATATCGTATATTTCGTGATCTCGCGGTTTTTCCTCGCGGAAACATTAGATTCGTTTTAAATTTATATATTATTATATAGCGCGTGATCCGTGAAATCTCGCGGCGTGGTGATTTGGTTGGCTGCATGAAAGACAAGCGTACCTTCATCTCATCGTAACGTACATTCAGATCCCAGGTGTCTTAACGAGCCGCGCGATTAAAATTTTTCCGCTTTTCCGAAATGATACGATATGAAACGCAATTCACACACTAGTTTCGCCGTACGAAGTGATGCACCGGTCTTGATATACATATGTGCCGCGGGCTGAAAGACGCGTCTGAATGTACCTTGACGAATGAAACTTATACAAATATACAATATTAACAATCTGTCACGACGAGAAAGGGCATTGTGTGCCCGAGAGAACCGATATCAACGACTGGTCACAGTTGACTCGACTGTCTGCTCTAACCGCGGCATTTTCCCCCGTTGCATTTTTCGCTAAAGACCATCGCGGCACAATCTAATTAATAGTGGCATATTATATACGCGTCGGTCGCATTGCATTTTGATATATTGCTATCTTAATTGTCTGCTAATTGAAGCCGCTGGTAACAATCTCGAAATACTCGAGACAGTCGTGATTGATAGGTGACAGTTTACGGGGACGTCCGATGATCGACGCTTTCCGTCGTCGCGTAAATCGACTGCTTATGCATTATCGGTAATATATTGGACGCGATGATAAGAGCTCGCACGATCCTGCGTGTGTTATCGGGAAATTCGCGGATCCTCGTACTCACACCGCGCTTCGAAAAATGCTTCGACGGGCGCGCGTGGAAAATTGCGAGATATTAATGGCGTGAATTGTGATAGATGGGGGTCGAATTGAACGGCGCAATTTGTCTCGATTATCACAGCCATAGTGATACGCGATACCGACCACTCCAATACCTCGGTCAGCAGTTCGCGCCTCGAATCTTTATTGTTTACGAGTTATTGGTTATTTGATACACAGATTTATGCTCTTACCGTAGTTTTGGTGTGGTCGCGATTTTTAGTCGCGAGAGAGACACAGGGGTCGTGTTGGGGTAACTAGGTGAGAGAGAACCAATATTATACCAGCTTTGAACAGCGCGATCGATATTAATAACGTTGTCGCATCGCTCTGTGATGACTGAATAATTTGCTCGGTGACGAGTACATCTGCTTGAACGGCATAGTATGTTGTACTCGACAATCGAGACAATCGAGCCGAGCGTGTCTTGCGCAATAGCGCCGCAAGAACGTTGATGCGCGTGTAGAAATTTGCTATTACTTAATAATCGAGTCTCTAAAAGTAAAATAGGCACGCTAGCGCAAAAAAGACCTATTATTAATCAATTAAAATTAAATTCGCACTTGTTTCTTCCTGTTATATAAATAAATATAACATTCTTTTTTTAATGTGGGTGGGCATGAAAATGTCAGTTTTTATCTAGTTCCGCGAAGTGAATTGATCGGGAACATCGACTGGCCATATTTATTATTCGTTTCCTTCTCGTGCAAAATCAGACATCATTCGAGCCTCGAATGTTCGGAATCGCTCTGAAAATTGACAAAGGTATTCTTTCGTAATGCAAATACGCATGCTTTTTCTTGTATTTTTTTCTTTTTTTTCTTCTCTCTATCTCTCGAGCATCGAACATAACCCATATCGCGTTTAGAATTATAACGTTCCATGACAACGCAGCCAACCGCCTCTGTCCTGCCTACGTCTCTTATGTTAACGCAGTATGTTAACGTAACACACACTCCCTCTTTGGCCCTCGTGTCCGCTGTAGTCACGATGATAGAAAAGTCCGTGCGGTGTACATTTGGATGGTAGCGTCTCGCCTGGCGTCGCGGTGCACCGTTTGTCCAACAGCATAACGATGCCCAAGCTCGCCAAAGCGGAAGCTCAAAGTGCAAGCCGAGGTAGCTTGTCGAGTCTTCATCTGAGCACCTGGCCCGATCGGGTCAGAACGACGGCCAGGAAGAGCAACGACAAGCTAACGGCGGCACCCGCTCGAGCGGCTCGCGCGCCGCTGTGATGTAGCTCTGCTAAGCTTTCTCCTGAAACAGCGTTAGGTACACTCACAAGGAAACGCTCGCGAACACCCCGACGTTTCCGACGTCGACGAGTTTCGGATATGTCGTAAAGCGGCAGAGCGGGGCTAGTCGAAATAAGTGCGAAGCACTTATTTCTCTCTCGCGCGAACGTCGCACACCGCGAATCGAGCTTGATATTGCGCGCCAGAGGCGCGCGCGCGTACTTGGATAGTATTAGAGAAAACGCGTGCGATAACGCGTGTGTATGAGATAAAACTTCTCTTAGTGCGCCGCGCGACTGTTTTAAGATACATCCCAAGTGTGCGCATCGAGATCGGTACGGAGATAGTCGCGAACTTCGCCTCGCGAGTGCAACACACCGCGAGCTCGTGTGCGATCGAGTTGCCTTCGTCTCGAATATCAGTTATAACGCGCACTTGAGCGACACGATGCAAATATCGAGAAACATTGTGTATAATTCGATTTCGGCTAAGAACGTGTGGAGCGTGTATTAAGTTGTACGAGAGAGGAGGATAAGGATGACGTTTGCGCGAGTCACTTTGTAGGACGAGGTGTTCCTGAGAGACCGCGAATTCCGCGACGTACAATTCCGGAGGAAGATGTAGACACGAAGACTGAGAGAGAGAGAGAGAGAGGGGGAGAGAGAGGGAGAGAGAGAGAGAGAGAGAGAGAGAGAGAGAGAGAGAGAAACATCTGAATTTATGAATGAATTTTCGCGAATACCCCGCGAGAAGCGAGCTTCATTAGGGAACGATTCGTCATCGACGGTTCTGTCTCGCGCAATATCTCTCTGTTATCTACGTGAGGTAGAGACGTTCCCGCAGTGACATACCGTGTCTTTCGCACGTTTCGGAAGCATTCCGTCGGGAGAACGCATGCGAGAGAACGCATACCGAGAAGCTGTATTCCGTTCGGAAACAGCTGGAGTTCCTTTGTTAAGACATTTTTTTACAATATCTCTCGTTTTTTACTTTTGTCGAGATATTTCTCAGTGAGTGAATAAACGGCGATGAAGACTCGATGGAGATTAGTTCTGTTATAAAATCGCGACATCAAAGCGACCGCGCGCGAAGTTTGCGCAGTTAGAAAATTCGACATGCGCGCGCCGAGTTTCGTCGCGTCGAGTTTCTCCGTGCGAGAACGTTTTAAGAAGACGATCCTTTACGACAAGTTCCAAACTGGACTTTCTCGCAGGAGTCAAACACCGGAGGACTTTTAGGCGCATCCGCGAGAGCACAGTTTAAGGTAAATATTAAATGTTGAGAGAGAGAGAGAGAGAGAGAGAGAGTACGTACTTTAGTAATAAATAGCCGTTGAGTCTACAGTCGCTGTGCAGAGAGACGGAGAGTTATATTACGGGACGTTTCATTCGCAGCTTCCGTAATAGAGTGAGCGCGAATAGCACACATAGGTGAATGTTGTGAATTTCTGAATTACATAAGATTCGCAGCACGATTCCCCTTGTGGGGAAACTGTTGCCACTCTGTTTGTTAGCGTCGTTAGCTACCGAATCGTCTGAGACAAGTTTCTCCGAAGCTGTCACGGGCATATCGAGTATTTTAGAAACATATTCCTCGACAAATTTCAACTTCAGATTGCTCAAAGTACTGTTAAATAAGGAAACTGAGCAGTAGATTCAATATGTCCCGTACTGTAACGTGAATTAACTACCGAGAAGACAACATTGTTGATTCCCCGCGCACGTTCTGCCTAATTTGACCAATCGCGCGCGCGTGCGCGCGCCATAAATGTTCTGCAATAATATTTTAATTTTGAATGCGATGCATTTTTCACTCACTCGCGATGAAACAAGAGAAGCTTGTACAACAGAGAGAAATATGCGGAAGATCATTCATTCTCACCGTTTAGAACGTGTACGTGAACCGTGGCGGGTTGGTCCGGCATGGTGGTGAGCTGGCACGTGTAGTTTCCGCTATCCGTAGGTCCAACCTTAGCTATGCTGAGAGTTGAATTGGCCCCCTCTTCCATTAGATCCGTTTTCACGCTACAACACGCGCAGGGCATTGAAATTTTAATGCCCTGGAAGGTCGCCATCTGACAATTTTTCATGCAATATTTTATACCGTGCCACGGCGATACCACGTGCACGTAGCAAAGTAACACGAATATACACGTGTCACATTACTCTCTCTCTCTCCCTCCCTCCCTCTCCCTCTCCCTCTCCCTCTCTTTCTCTCTCTCCACTGTCATATGCGGCGTTATCGGAATCGGCACGTTCGCGCATCGCTGCAAATTCAAAACTGACGTGTATCTTCGGTGATCACGCAGCGGCGTTGGGAATTAAATAGTGTTACAATGAATTACGTGCATTCGCTTGTGCTCGAAAATGCAATTAATTTCGTGCACCAGATTAATAAAACAAAAAGAAAAAAAGGTATCCGTGTCCAGGAATATGTTGATGCGATAATTTGTTGTAATCTACGTTCGTGACGAGCACACGCGCGTATCATCAATCACAATGATGATGATATTCAGGGTGGAAACAGTTTCACGCGAAATTAAGAGCAATGCACGGAAATGCTCGAGAGAAGAGAGAATCTCCTAAGGCAAGCTAACGAGAACTCCTCAATTTTGCCAGTTCCTTTCTGTCTCTGTACCTTAGTTCTTTGTCCTAACTAATCACCAACGTTCCATCACGACTAAATCGTTTCTTCTCTTCTCGTGCTTTTTTTCTTTTCGTTGTTCGCGCTCCATTCGCACGCTTTTACGTTAACTTTCTTATGCGAGAAAGCAGCTAAGTTAATTGCAAATCGAGCCGAAATTATCAGCTTTTCCGAGAGCGCTCGGTTCTTCGCGCAAACAATGGACCGAATAATAATCTCCGACCGTCGAATAAATATTTGCTCACTGCTGGCGAATCACCTTGATAATATACTTTATATCGACCGATCGCTTCTTCTCCCACGCCGCAATGGAGTTAAATATTTCAGTCTTGCTAACAATTCGCGGGCTCATTTCTCCGTGTACGCGAGATGAGCGGATACGCTCGCAGTAACGTTACCGCGAGATGTATCGCTTACGTGGAATTATATTTCGCTGAAAAATACACGTGATTCTGCCGCTCGCTCGCACTATCGGATAGGATGAAAAACAAAATATAAGATCGCGAAATTTAAAACAACTCGTAAACGCGATATTTGACGATGCTCTTTGAATTTTAGTCGAGGGGCGTCCTTTTCGCCTGTATCTTTTATTCATTTAGCGATCGGCGCGATCACTGCGAGGCGACGCAAACATCGAATTTTCGCGAGCGCGCCGGGGGTTGCTGTTGTGAGAGCGCTGCCTTTTTCCGAGGACCGCATTTCTCCTGGACCGCGACGGAAAGAATAGCGGCAACGAGAATTCGTCGAAGCGCGCTAATTGCCGACGAAAATATATCCCGCTCCGCGAGGAAGAAAAGTTTCCCGGTACAACTGCACATTGCAAAGACGTCTCGCGGAAAATTGCCCTCGCGCGCGCTTGACGTTTTTATTTTTGTGAGAAAATGGCGGGGAGAAAAAAAGTAAGACCGTTCGAGCGGGCATTTCACGACGAGCGTTTCATGACGAGTATTTCACGGCGAGCGTCTCACGACGAGCGAAGAATGCGCGAGTGGTGGGCCGCGGTAAAATGGTAAATACGGAAAAACGCGCAGCGACGGTTAATAATTGCACGGAACAATTAGGTGATGGTCTCTTTAAATGTTTATACCGCGTGATGGATATTATACGACGTATCGAACGCTTTTATCTTAGTATCTATCTTAACTTCTTCTGAATACATTAATATCTTAGCTGATTAATTTTACAATTGTTCCAAACTATTATATTTGAGTAATTATATTTGAGTAATTCATCCCAGAACTTTATATTCACCCATATTTTTCCGATATATTCCAAGGCGGAGGGAAAGAGAGAGAGAGAGAGAGAGAGAGAGAGAGAGAGAGAGAGAGAGAGAGAGAGAGAGAGAGAAAGAGAGAGAGTGTTAAAATTGGCGATTATATAAGATTTATCTGAATTCCGCTAACGTAATCTCAGCAGCTTCGTCGGCAAGTAGGTTGAATTTGCGTCATACATGGCTATCGTTCCGTCTGTTTACGGGCTATTTGACGACCGAAGGAATGGTAAAAGTTCATCCGCTAAATATTTCGCAGTGAGAATTTTCACTGTCTCCTTGCCGTGTGTTTTGTCACACGACAAACGGTGAAACAACGTGAAACAACGCGCGCATATTTCGCACGACGATTTCGTTTCGGACATTTATCTCTATACGGTAGATTCTACAAGAGCTATACGAGCTTTTGATGTACTATTTGATAAAAAAGAGAAAAAACTTGTCTCCTTACGGTACGTTTTAACATTTCGGTTCATATCTCATGGCTCATGGATACCACATGTGATGGTATTCCTCTGCGAGAAATTTGTACGAGTTCGTAAAGGATGTCGGAGGGGAAAAATAGAAAGTTGACGACAAAGAAACACGTTCAGAGATCAGCAGTCTCGACGATTGTCGCGAAACGAGATCCATCCAATCGTGGACTCGATTCACGCTGCGGTGACGCTGCTTTGTTTAATTGAAGGGTGACCATTTGGGATTTTCCAGCGCAGGACGAAAGTGCCGTCGTGGCTTTCATGTGATCACGCTCGTCGCAATTGCAACCGTGCAGCCATCTCGTCCTCACCTCGACACGGTACAACGATTAACGCGAGATCTCGCCGGGCTGACAAAGCATGCTCCCTTTTACAGCTACGCTTTTGCTACAGTCTTCGCTTTTGCTAACCCTCACGAAGGAAGTGCCCTTTTATTTATGCCGGTTCGCGTGTCGCGTTAAAGGATGGAAACTTGCCTGACCGAACGAAGAGGGTCGCTTTCGGATCGCGCCGAGCTAAGCGGGACTTTAATCGAAAAAGTTCCCTCATTGCAATTTGTCGCTTTCGTTACCTTCGGCCGGTTGAACACTGGCGGACTATCGCTCGTTTATCCGCAACCTCGAGCGTCCATGTCTGCATCCCGCTAACGCGCAGCTTTTGTAAGAGGTCTTCCTCCTCCTCTTCCTCCTCCTCTTCCTCCTCCTCCTCCTCCTCCTCCTCCTCCTCCTCCTCCTCCTCCTCCTCCTCCTCCTCCTCCTCCTCCTCCTCCTCCTCCTCCTCCTCTATTTTCTCCTCTTCCTCCTCTCACGATCAATCCGATAGTCGGAGACGCGCCGAGAGAGACGCAGCCACCGACGCGACATTCGGTAAAGCAGGGTACGGTGAGTAGTTACTCGCCGTAAATCAGAACGAAAAATTACCGGTTTTACGGAAAACTATGGGATCCGCGAAGTTAAACATGAATATTTATGCTCCGTGCGCGCGCTCGCACGCTTGCTCGTTCGCACAGAGTGCGTGAAATGGCAGCCGCTGTGTCTTTATTGTTATGATTATCGCATCACAAATATTTTCCATCCCAATTTCACAGTTCAAAGGTTCTAACATCGCGCAGCGTCGCTAATTATTGCATTCGCGAATAAAGTCGTACCGTGTGCCGGCTTAAGTAATATGATTAATGTCACCGGCTGAAAATTTCACTGCATGTACAGGCCCGTGTAATTTTAATGCGATGATAAATGGCAATTGGCCAAGTTGCGGAATGCGCGATAATTATACGCCGCTGTGCGAATCGCGTTTCATATTGCATGTTGTTTATATACGTAAGAGAAGCAGCACAGCAGCAGCACTAGCAACCATATTTTTTTGTAATCTTGTTAGAAACCGCGCAACGCGTTCTTCTCTTTTATTTTTCGTCGATGAGTTTGCGTAATAAGCAAACGGCGGAACCAGTACTTCTGCCTGTTCCTCCCGTGCGCTCGCATCGATATGTTTGCGGAGGTTCGATCATCTCTTTATATCTTCCTTTTTTCACGAGGGAATGCTCGGGAATTGATAATGCGTAATACTGCGTATAATGCAGCCAGAATAACGATGATTAATAGTACGCGAGGTACTACTTTGATCGATAAATTGATGCGCGGTTGTTAACCCTTGCGTATAAGCGACTAGTTGTTTCTCCATTCGCGGAGCAATCGGCCGAAACGCATCGATATCCTGCAGTATTAATAATTTATCATTCAATATGATGTCAATATGATGTCATCAGCCAGTCCTTTTTGTCAGGTGCACAGTGAACTTACCCGTGCTTTGTTTAGAGTTCAATAATCAATCCGTTTCAGCCCCAACAACTTTGTGCGTGGAACGTGGCGGAATTATTCATATTAGAAATAACTTACGGATCGAACTAATTACGTTCTGTTTTTCATTTTCGTACATACGATTCATGCGCGTTCTAATCGCATAAAAGGACGCCTATCTCAAGGGATTGGTTTAACTTTTGTTTAAAATAGTGTTGTACGTCGTTGATGTAATTTAATTGGAAAAATGAAATAACAGTACATGTAACATCTCACGTTTTAAGACGTACGAATTATTAAATCGGATATTGCTTTCCTTATTACGTTTTACTTCACGGATGCGGGAAGTAAAACGTAATAATGCGGGATCTTGGGATATTTACGCGAGAAAAATGGTCTGATAACATTTTTTCGAGATTTCTTTCCGCCTCCGATGCGTTTGAATACGCACCGCTATAGAAACGTGGCAGAACAATCTGATTTTAATTCTATTTCGTTCAACACTTCCGTCGTCATGATGAGTATCGATTCCGCATCCGACTCGTCGCGGTTGTCTCTCGTTTTTCTTTAATTTCATATCGCACTTAATAATCGACGAGCGTTTTTGATGGAAAAATAATTAATACATCGGGCGAGAAAGGGAGAGAAAGGGAAGGATGGGGGGGGGACACGTCCCCTTCATCGTGGCGAAGATTGGATTGGGTTATACCCACACTGCGGATAAATTAAGACAGATCGTAAACATAACGTTAATTCGACGGCGCAGAAAATCGATTTAACGCTGGTCAACTACGGCCGCGGGCTTTGTGAATTACTATCGTCGCCGTAATACGTTATGTCGTCGTCGTAGCCGGAAGTTTAATTACGATCCCGAAAATTTAATGTAATTTGACACTGCATAAAATACTATTTTCCGCCATGTAACACTCCCTTTCGTTTAGTGAGGATCGCGTCGTCAAAGTCTTTTCAGTAATTTCAGTAATTTGACGGATTAAATGCGATGTTAAACGCGATAAATTAATTGTCACGTTGCTTCAAATTGGATTCGCAGTCGGTTCGATTAATTATTAATTCTCGGGCTATTGTTATATTGTTACTTTGTCTAATTATAAATACGGAAAGTATATACGGGAGATATGTACGTAGAATATACCATATAGCTTCGATACTACGCTCATTAAAGACCTCAGTGGTGTAAACGGGAAACGCTTTGTTCCAACGTTAGCACGAACGTTATTTTTAGCAAGGAAAAAAAGACGAGGAATAATAATTAAAGGAGTAAAATATAACCTTTTCTTCTCGCGCCTTGAAATATCGGCTCGTGTCGTCCCAATTTCAACGTCGTCGTCAGATATACAATTTTAAATACGTATAATTTAAAAAGTGGGAATTTCTCGCTCAGAAGTGTCGCCTTTGTTTTCGGTTTCCGGATGAAAGTTTTCGCCGGAATACCGCAACGTTGTTCGTTCTTTTTGCGCCAATGTAAAAAGAGCGAGTCGACAATGGGGTACTTAAAAGCGCGAAGCCGTCAGCGACGCGTCGTTAAATTATGGGAAGCCGGGTCAACGTCGAGTGATTAATTAAACGAAAGGTTAGATTAAGCGAGATAGCAATAATTCTCGCTTACTCGCCGCTGTGCGAGCTCAGCTCGCCGCTATGCTGGGAAAAATAGCGAGTGCTGCGGCACTGCAGCGGCTTCATGTGGCGATACGTTTACGGTCTGCGGTCCGCGCAGGGCCATACGTCCCACGTGGGCGAACTAGAGAAAGGAAGATAGAATAATATACGAGGGTGACCGTGTAAGGGTGCAGCCGCGGGATAAACTTGCACGAGTTAAACACCGAGCAGTGCGCGAAAAAAAATTTTTGTGGCACGGCGGAAAGATTAAAAGCGATAAGGAACAAATCCAGAGGTTATATCCGCTTATTCCCGATTTGCAAGAGCACTGATCCTCGAATCTGCAGAAGCAAATTTTTCTTCGGGATCGCCTCTTTCTCCTTTCTTTCCTGATTTATTCGACTATATTAAAATATATATACATATATATATATATATATGTATATATATTTTTTAACAAGGTTAAAAATACAAGGTTAAAGAGATTAAAAATTGATAATATTCCAGTGCATCTCGAGCAGAGAATATTTAGCTTTGTGCGGTCGTCGGGTGGATCGCAGAGGGACGATATTCTGTTCTCGCAACGAGATCCCCGCGACCTTGTGTGTATGTACGGCTGTCTATATGTACAGAAGCGCGTAACACAAACTAATTCCATTTACTTTTCCGCCGTGTCTCACCGACGCCTAACTTTACTATCAGAGCGGGCCCACAGAAGCGACGGTCCCGACCGAAAACCGGTCTTCTGAACACGGTAGCCTTTCTCGTCGACACGCCGCGGCTGCCGTCCTAACTCTCGTGACTGTTGTCAACAACCGGCGTGTACTCCGTATGAGCACTCCACTGTCACGTATTTTCGGCTCCTTTGGGGGTTCTTGTATTATCCGAGTAACCGAGAGCGAGAAGACATATATCGGAAGCAATGGCATTCCCCTTTTGAATCAGCGTTGCCAAACACATGCGAGCAAAACTATAAATTTGTCGTATTTTGCAGGTATTTTTCCAAAAGCGTGCCGCTAGCCGGGATATGATATTTATCGTCCTCTCTTATATATCTCGCGTGTATATTTTTAACAGGTGTATAAAATATAAAATGCAAGAGAGAGTCGGCTCCCACCGAGTCGCTCCTCTCTCTTTCTCTCGTCGTGTTCTGTGTCCAAATTTTGTCCAGCGGATAATTCTGTGCTGTAAATTATGAAATTTGACAACTTTTAATAGCGGTTATATAAAAAAGCAACATTTCTACTATTAACTCGGACGCGGATGTTAAACTTTTATTCCGTCTCGTTCTTTTGAAATTGCAGCCGCGAGCTGCGATTATTTAAAATGATGGATTACATCATTTATAACACTTGACAAAGCGACATCGGGCGACAAGGCGAGAAAAACGCGAGTACGCGAATACGCGCAACGTATCAACGTATAAATGGAATGCAATTTCGTGGAATTTTGTCTTTTTTGCGAACTTTGGCAAAACTTTCAGACTGGACTTGAGCGCGAGGCACGCGCGCGTATGTGACCGGAATAGGTCATATATATGGGGGGGAGGATGTTTTATATCCATATCTCCATATCTCATTGACCCGCGACGACGTGGAACGAACTATATATTTAACGAGGCTTAATACGACGGCGTGTCATTTCCGTCTCTTTTTCTTATTTCCGTCAGAGTTTTATTCAGCGCGACAGCTGAATGAACCGGCGAATCTCCCGGCTATTATACGGATCGTGGATAATGAATTCTTACGCTCCAGAATCGGCCTCTTGAAATCCTACTGTTCCGACGAAATTGCAGGAATCTATAAAATATATAATCCGCGATGAGAGAGGAGGAAGCGAGTCGTATTTTTTAACGCTTCATGAAACGCCACGGTGAAACGTACGGAAGGAGTGAGAATTACGCGCGCGCGCGCGCCCGATCTACATTTGACTTTCTGCCAGGCCATTTCTGCTCAGTTGACACAGAGTCTTTCAACTGCACGTAAATGCTCGTCAAACAAGGAAAAGTTTCCTGAATTAATTACACTTTGCTCGCGCGTAACCGCGCCAAGTTTGTCTGCCGCTTAGATTATGCATTCCTCATATTTGCCGAAAAGCATTTCGAGTTAGAACGACTTCGCAACTAGCGAATTTCGAATAATAGAGCCATTAGGTCTCAAGACCTCCTTGCGTCTTTTGCACCTGACATTCTGACATTTGTGTATCATTGCGGAATATCGTTAGAGCATTGATTCGCAATTACATTTCTATCGCGGACCTAAGTAGCTGCAACTTGTTGTTCGGCATCGCGAGGTAAAACATGTAGACATGTAGCGTTACCTCGGTTCGGTATATCGAGTTGACTTTGCGCGACCTCGCTTGAAAATCGTATAAACAACGCATCGTGCGTGCTACGTTTTTAACGCGCTCGCATAAGCAATAAACCTTGGTATAACAGGGTAAAACTAAATCGAATAACATGCGATACTCTCGGCCGAACGTGAAAAAAATATTTGATGGCTCGTGTCACCTGATACCGCCTCTCGTCGTGTCGTAGTTCAAGACTCTGTTGCCGTGCAGCCACTGGACGACGCTGTATTGCACCTGCATCGCTATGTGTCGTACGACGCATAGCAGCTCGATAGTGCTATCAGCCTCGTAGTACTTGTCCCGCAGTGGCTCGCCCAGGGCGTCCACTATTTGGACGGATGGTGCTGAAATTCAGTCAAACGTGTCAGAAGAAAAATCGACCATTTATTAACGAGTTTAACGCGCCGACCAGTAAGGTGACTCGCCATGTCGAACAGCGCTGGGAAAGAATCTAATTGGACGATCGTTAATTATTAATAGCTCGAATGATATAAAACTCGTGTGCATAATAAAAAAAAACCCGACATTTTTCACTTGTATGATAAGTTGCTTCCTTTTTCACTCGCGAACTATAAATAGTAAGCAGTCCCGGCGGTCGGCTGAATTTATTCCGAGCGAGAATTTGCTCCCGATGTGTTACTCTTTTTCCGCGAAATTTTTCCATATTCTCACTTAATATCTTCCATAAATAGCCTTTGTCGCGAAATGTTATTAATAACATTTCGCGACAAAGTGATAGTCGGATAATATCGGAATCGTGTAATTCACGAGGTAATTGCGATAATAATGGGGCAACTCTAAAACGACAATAATAAAATTCTATGGTTTGTTTTTCCAGCGTGCATATCTCTAATATGTGTAATAATCATTTGCTATCTCGAAATTGTAATTTGAATCGACGAAGAAAAGATCGGGTGTGTCGTAGCTAGCTTGGAGCTTTTCCAGCCCGTCTTCGACTTAAAGTTTCTATCCTCTTAGAAGAAGTTACGGAGTCGCCATATTGAGGTAAAAGTACTTGCTACTTTTCGTTTAAACATTGTAGTATTGCGATTCGCACGCGCGATAAGTGTGTGTGTGTGCGTGATGGATTACGTACGCGAAGTATTTTGTTCATTCTCCTAAAAACTTTATCGTCGAAGATTGCACATACTTCGGGCGGATGATACAGCCATCGCAGTCAAAGACTCAAAATCTGTGAGCGCAATTATCTGCAAGTATGCCGTAACTAATTGGCTATGCGCGATATCACAGTAATTCTTCACGCTCCGAACGTATCTCCCGTTTAATTTTCTCAACTTTCTCCGTGCTTTATTATCATTTATTATCATTAGCTTCTTTGCAAGGGAAATATAATAAAACGGATTCTAATTTCCTTGCGCGCGTTCCACATCGCTGTGGAAGCGTCAGTCTTCTATTATTATTATTGCGACATCACCGTCGTGCGGCACGCGGTAACCGTCTAATTCTAACAACGAATCTCCATTAATGAAAATTGTCTTTTTGTGTTATCGCGCGAGATTCACCTGTCGTGTTCTTTGCAACGTTCTCGTGTGCTCGCGATACGGTAAATTAGACCGCATTAGCAGGGATTAATTTGCATCGTAACGAGGGTGAGGAGGAGGGTTTTGTACTATTACTCGGCGTTGAGGAAATTCATCGACGAGAACGATCGGATAAGCATTTGGGAAGTGAGGTTGACAAGTTCTTCTCGTATGAAGACATCAAATGATACAGCGCTTAATACAGTGCGCTCACGGCGCACACTAATTGTTATCGTTGTACCGTTGTAGTCGGTACAGCGTAATCCCGTTTTACGGTAATAACACGGAAGATCCTTATTTTAGCAGGATCGCCATTGTTTGCAGACTTCGCTTAGAGACAGAGAAACAGACAGACAGACAGACAGACAGAGAAAGAAAGAAAGAGAGAGAGAGGGAGAGAGAGAAAGGTTAGTGAGAGAAAGAAATAACTGGCGATTCACGCGTCATGAAATTCGGCCCCGTATACGCGAGCGTGATATTGGATTACATCGAATTTGGCTTCAAATATTCAACTTTATGGCTTAATAAATATTTCCTATATTGACGTCATTGGGGTGTCTACAATCGAGCGTGCAACGTTCAACGTGATCGAGCCGCCCGAGCTCCCCATCCGTGTGTATCTCTCTATCGTCTTCCGTCGCGTTGGACCATTTCCAACTGGTACTGTTGCCTTTACCGTGCGCTGCGTACAGCTGTACATCGCGCGCGCGCCCATGAAGTCGAGCCCAACGTACGGCCGCCGAAAGAAATCACGAAAAACGAAAACGTTTTGGAGATAGATCAGAGTGTTCTGCCGACCCGGTAACTTGACCTCATGAATACCACAGCGAAATGTAATCTCTCTCGCCGTGCAATCCCCGTTCCTTTTCTTTATTCCTTCTCTTCCTGTTTTCCTTCATTCTCTCTTCCTCTCTATCTTTCTCTTTCTTCTCGCATCATTCTCTTCTTCTCGTCTGAGGCATACTGCGTTTTACTCCGTGCGCTTTTCCGTAAGGTGATAAAAAGGTCTCCCCCTGAGGAAGTTTTCACCGTGGAGAGAGAGAGAGAGAGAGAGAGAGAGAGAGAGAGTGAGAGAGATATATATATATATAGGTACACCTTTTTTTATTTTATTCGTTTCACTTCCTTTCTTTCTCATTCGATAATTCCATGTTAGTGTTTGTACACACTTGAAGCTTACCAAGTGTTTCCGCATTTTTTTTTTCGGACGAAGTGGCCACCGTTAGAAAAAAAAAATAACGACACTTCCGCAGAAAAGCTTTCGAATATTTTTCTCGCAGTTTTGGACCGATCTCTGTGCGTATGTTGCGTTTGACGTTGTTGCAGTGCGATGTGGAAAATTTCTAATCGCGAATGATACAAGCAATATTTAGAGAATTACCTAGTGCGATCGGAGAAATGAAGATTTGATTGAATAATCAATAGTTATGGAGATTGTCGGTCGAGTAAAATATATCCGCATATTTTAATTTGCTCACGGGCTTCGCAAGCTGGATGGTAGGATTCCAGCGACGAACTCCAAACTTCTTCGTTCTCACGACTGATTCCATAAGAATACAATTTTCCTCGTCACATCTGTTTCGCTCTTGAATTTTTCAGGAGTCTAAAGGTAAATTAAGTTGTGATTTATACCCGTGAAACTCGCGCACTCTCACTCTCACTTGTTCGCTCAACGCTCCTCGCCTACCTCCTTTTATTAACGTTCTGACGGAAAGGACATGCGTCGACTAAATTGCCGGGGAGGTCGACGCCGAGAGGACGTAAGAAGACGGACGGCAGGTGGAGGTCGAGGAAGGAGACTGCATACCAAACTCTCGGCTACTTTATCTCGTGCAGTTTCAGTCTCTCTTCCCCCCGTTCTCGGATTAAGTGTTGATCCTTCGCTTTACGTGCGCCGGTCTTAGGACCGGCGACGATCGTCGCGTTCGTCGAGTATGACCTAACGACAACGCCCGGAAACGCCGCCGAGTTCGGCCGAGATTACTCACTCTATGTTCTTCTTCGCACGACGATTTATGATCGCGCGGTATATCTATCGTATTTCCGATACGTAAATTATCCTCGCACCTCATTAATAGGCCCCCAGGGAGTCGAGCTTATGATATTATACATATAAATTGCATTATCGTGTTAATTGTAACTATTGTCAATTGTTAATTACAAGCGCGATCATAATCGAGAGATGTCGATTAATTCGCTTTGTTTCCCGAAGAAGAGCCTCGTGCCGTTAAAAAATTTGAGTCAGGAAACTGACGTTGCTCGCGAGAATATTCCCTTGCAAATGACATATCTATCCACGCGCGCATAACAATATGCCATTTTTCACGATGGTCGAAACATAGAGTCTCCAATCGATAATCGATGGGAATAGGCGACAATAGCCGAGCAGGATGTATTTATATCGCCAACGTTAATTATCGTACAATACGAGCGTGATCCATCGATAAAATGCAATTGCAAGAATCGTGCAACAATAGACGATTGTGCTTGCCGCAATATAATCTTCAAAGTTAAACAAATCCAGAAAGAGAATTGTGGGTCATCGGGAGAGGCCAATGAGAATGCGAGATATTCGACGATACATTTTGTCCTTTCAGAGGCATTTGACGTCCCGAATCGCGATACAAACGATTGCACGAAAGCTCGTGCACAAAGGCGTCGGCAGCTCGAAACGATTGCATTTTAATTGTACTGGATCAAGCGAGATATTTCGATAATCTGCAATATAAAATAAACGTAATGTGTCTGCGTGCCGTTAAAAATCTCGAATGATTATCGATTTAATTATTATCGTTTGAATGCGTGTAAACAAAAAATAACGCTTTGCATTCTGCCGATTGTTCTCGAGTGATTTCTGTACATCGCATCGTAATGCGCGAAATCGATGGGTGTATATGCAAAACTGCTTGACGGAAAAAATGAATGCGTTTGCTCTCTAGAGGCATTTCAATGCAAAGGTACTTAAAACTTACTCTGATATTTCAGAACAAGTTTCTCGTACATTGCGAAATATTTGACGGTCCACGTTCTAATTATATAATTATATTTCACTGTGTGTGCTTCATGATTTTAACTTCAATTTTTAGAGAGAAGAAAGGAAGTAATAACGAATATCGCAGAAACTTTTTATATTTTGAGGGAAAAATGAGGGAAATTCTTCAGATTTGTCCAAAAAAAACCCGTGTAAATTTGAAGTGACAGACCATTTAGCAATCATACATCTCACGGATGGAATATCCAAGTATTATATTGTTACCATCAAACATTAGTGTTACAAATGATTTTTTCTCTCTGTCTTTGTCTATTTCTCTCTCTCTCTCTCTCTCTCTCTCTCTCTCTCTCTCTCTCTCTCTCTCTCGTTTTCCCTTTGTTTCAATGATGTGTTCGTCATATTGTTTCGCGTGAAATCGAAGTAAACCGCTTTTTTCCGTGGCAATCGACAAACGTTACGTTACGTTACGCGCTAACTGAAAAAACGATTTTGACAAATTACAAAAATGGAAGAATGGCAGAGAAGAATAAATGTAGGGAACGTTAAGCAGATAATCCCTTTGAAGTCCCTTGCGTTAGAAGATTCTTCGCTATAACACGAAGAAGCTACATCATCTCATCCGTTGCAAGCGAAAGCTTACGATATAATCTTACATCAGCAAAACCGCGCGGATCAGGAAATAAATAAAAGAGAAAACCAACCGGCTTCGATCCTTTTTATCGTGAGCTTGCACTTTTATGCGATTTGGCGGGAACGAAACCGGTACGGTGTCGTATTCTTTTTCTTTTTTTTTTTTTTTTTCGTAGGAATAGATTTGCTCGATCCTCTTTTTTTATTTTAATTAGTATAAACTGCGCAGTATGCGTTAATAATGCCTGCCGGCAGGTTCTAATTTGGATACTAATTTGAATTCCAATCCGGATACCGCTCGATACATGTATGCGCTGTCTACCTCCGTTTTTATTTCTCGGTGTAGGCAGTTACATTTGCACGGCGCGTATCGTTGGCCGCTAGTCTTTCAAATTACACAATATCGCGGCTTTTCGCTTCCGCGTTTATTAAAATCTTCCTGGCGCTTACCATCTTCCGTTGTCCATTTCTCGCTTTAGCTAGCAAGTTAGCAACAGTTCCTCCCATTTCACATTTCATGTCCCCTCGTTTCACCGAATAGCTCGGCTGACACACCGCCAATTCGCCGTGCCCGAAATGCGGCGAAACGAAGTCCTTTCGCTTTGCGTCGTTCTCACGAACCGAACGAAGAAATGATCGCAGGTTCTTCTCTCTCTCTCTCTCTCTCTCTCTCTCTCTCTCTCTCTCTCTCTCTCTCTCTCTCTCTCTCTCTCTCTCTCTCTCTCCCCCCCTCTCTTACTCTCTTTCTCTCTTTCTCTCCCTCTTTTCTCTATAACCGTCCGCCTCGACTACAGGGCACTTCGTTTTCAATTATCCTTCTAAGCGACCTGCACCGTAAGAACGCCGCGAACGAAGCCAATTTGCTATCCGACCGCTAGCGCGTACTACTCCGGGATTCGAGCTTTGCTTCTGCTTCCTCCTCTTCTTTTTCTTCTTCTTGTTCTTGTGCCTTTTCTTTTTCTCGTCCATTCCGTGTCGCCAGAATATTGGATCGTAACATACAGTCGAAGATACATTGCCTCTCTTTTTTTACTTTTTAATTAATCTATGTCGGTACAAATGACATCGGAGAAGGATACTGATACCGAAGGACGAAGACTTCTCTCGGTTGTACAGCCAACAGCGTCTCGAATTTTATCTTGGATATTTTACAATTCACTACATTTATTTTCGTGGTGTGTGTATGTACACGTACATATGCGCGCTTTATTCGAATACGCTTGCTATTGCTAAGGGAATACGGTCTTCTCCGTTTTGTCGAACGATCTTTCGTTTGACAGACGATGTAAAAGATCTACATTACAATCGTCTCTCGCGCGACTATCTAGTCCCCTTTATATCATCCTTCCTCTAGCTGTCGCAATGTCACGCTACATTAAGTTCGTTCGTTCTGAACTCGGTCACGCGGCGTCGAAAAGGGAAAAGGGAACAAGAAGGCGCTAAGCGGGCAAAGGAGACATGTAAATTCGGGAGGGTAAATAGCAGAGGTTTAAGCTCTTTGTGCCGTTTCTTTTAAAGATAGAACAATTGTGTGTCGAATTGCAGAGAGCGCCCATCTAGAAAGGTCCACAAATAACGTTTTACTAGAATTTGAGCCCGTAAGAGCGCGTAAAGAGTATGTTAATTACCAACTCGAGTCACACGTGCGCGAATGAAACAATTATCGGAAACTTTTCTCTCGTCTCTTGTCTCTCCTCCGTTTTCCTTTCTCACGAGGCCGTTACTGATTCTGACGTTGACATTAGGCGTGAACCGTTAGTTTCAGTTAGTACATTATCACTTACCGTTAATGTGTAGGTTGACGTGAATGAACTTGGGTGGATGGGTGCTGATCTGACATTCGTATTGGCCCTCGTCGCTGCTGTTAACGCGCTTGATACGTAGACGCCAGTTGTCCGGGTATTGAAACTCGATGGTGTACCTCGAATCGCCCGTATACGTGTGCTGACCCACCGTCAGCAGATTCATCTTGCCGCCATTCTCCTGCCGACGTACCCAGGACACCTGGGAGAAACGATCGTTCTAAAAAACGCGTCCCACCTCAGCTTGAAATCCTGTCGTTAGAGCATCAGCAGCGCGGTCGACTCTTTTGCGTGATGCTTCGTTTCGAAATTAGCCGCGTATACGCGGCTCGATAACTGTCTGGTAAAATCACGCGAAACGAGAGAATCCTTCGGTCAGAAGACACACGTTTCCTCCTGCGTTTCTCTTGCTTCCTCTTAATCGTAAGAAACAACGCAAGCTCCGATTTCCGAGTTGAGTCGGATTCCGCGGGGCGGCACAAATACACGGCGGATTGGATCGACCCCGATCGAGAACGAATTTGCGTGAGGGATGGTTTGAGGTAGTGGAGGCGAGAGTGAAGTGGCGACGGGTGGGTACGCGAAGCGGAAGGTTTATTCACGTAACTGGAATTGGATAATGTGCTTCCGAGTAACCGCATTAAATGTATAAACGTAATAACGCACATCTTCTGCATGGATACAGAGAGAACTGTGAGAACTAATCTGGCATTATCAGAGATTCGTGCTACATATCGTTGCCCGATATTGCATAGATTGTAAAGTTATCGTCAACTTTTTGAGCTTAGCTTCTCTCACGGCGCGAAAGTCCGTTCATATTCGCCTTGTTCGCGAACGATGGATAATCACTAAAGCTGGTATTAAAGCTGTGTTTCCATTTATTTCATATTAATGAGTGTTAAATTCCGTATCATATAAATGTTAAATTCTGTATCGTATAAAAATCTTTCATACATGTCGTGTTCTTTCTTTAATTTGGGCCGATCGGCCGACAGAATTATTAATTCTTTAACGTCCGCGAGTAATGACAAATGATTCAAATTGACGTTTATTTCAGAAAAATTGAGTTGCTTTCGCGAAGTTTTTTCGCGAAGCATCTACGATATTGTAGCATATAGAAATGTACATGCACAAATATTTAATTTAATATAATGCGCATTTCGCGGTGGTATTGGTTGGCTATAATATGAATTGTTGCCAGGTAACAGGATATTATCTGTTCGAACGCCAGGGAGATTCATGCGCACATAACCGATATCTGACCGCATAATTTGTTCTATAGTTTGGGGCATGGATAATGTGGAAACGGTTTGTAACTGTATTACGGGCGGCAATAAATGCGTCCAGAATAGAGACGGTGGTAGTGGTGGTGGTAGTGGTCGCGGCAATAAAGTTGTTGCGGCGTGTCTTTCTAATAAAAAAAAATCAGTCTCGCAATTAAATATCGCATCGTGCGTTCTTTTGCATTCTTTTGCGCATGGTAAGAGTGTTTTTATCACACAATTGGACCGAACGCGATAAAAAATATCTAGATCCGCGGAAATTTCGTGTTTAATGCAGGATGCAATCGCGCGCGGTATTGAGGTACGAGTAAACAAAGAAAATGAAAGAAAAAGAAAAACAGCAAGAAGAAGAAGAGCGCGGGAGAAAACTTCACATAAGAAGTCTAACGAAACGCAGGATTTGCCGTTGAATTATTACGTGCAGATTACGCGTGCAAACGACCGGGGGTCACCGGCAGAGATTATGCGAATTTCTCCCTAAATTTGTTCCTTGGAGTATAAAATATACGGCTACTCGTGCGCCGGCAGATTAATCATAATAAGCTAAACGTAGCTTAGCCGCGCCGTAATAAGTCGAAGTATTCTGAGATTAGGCGCGTGAGTTATGGCGCTATGAATTCGTAGTGGGTGACTAAAGGGTGCGGCCGACCGACCAGATATGACTAACGCGAGAATAAAATGACGGAAGGAGCAAAATGCTCGAATATGATCGAGCGCGCGCGCTTACGGTTTTGTCCTGCAACAGGGATATCCTGCAATCGAGAGTGACGCTAGCACCAGCCTGCACCGTGATGTTAGAGCTCTCGCCTTCGAAGTGAGGACCCCATCTGTGATCATGATGATGTTGGTGTTTGTTTAGAGTGCTGTGCGCGTCGAAAATGTAGTTTAGCATCGGGGCATCCGTCGGCACGGATCGTTTCGCCGCCGTGGTCGATTTTGTGGAAACCGGGTCCGTCGCCAGAGGCAGTTCTGCAACAGAATTTGTACGGAAATGTCAATTATTTTACTGAAAAACATCTCGGTTAGAGAGAGAGAGAGAGAGAGAGAGAGAGAGAGAGCGAGCGAGCGCGTACAGCATTATTTTATCTGCTTCAGCCGTGCAGCCTCTCGTATGTAAAGAGCAAATCGACATAAATTAATAACAGGATCGGGGTACTATGCATTAGTCAATAAAGAGGATACTGTGGTGGGTACTGCGTAATACAACAAATAGGTGGATTATCATGTGCTGTATCATTTAATATTTCAAACAATGACGCACAAATCAAATACGGCTAGCGTAGTAGACTCGTTCGAATTGTCACGGCACTGTTTACGGCGCCACATTGCGCGTCACATTTATTTACATGTTACACCCGGCCGGTTTTCCCGCCGCTTTTTGCATTCAACCCGTTGCGCATCCTGCTCTCGTGTAACTTGTGACTTTATTTAATCGATCCGTTGGCGTTTTCCCGTTTTGAGCCATCGCTCAGGTTATCGACATCCAGCCAAGCCTGCCAATAACGGCCGCGGCATCAGCGTAAACATGCATTTACCGCCGCAACAGAGACCGCGAGTCGAGACGCGCAACATTTTTGCTTTTAGTACCATCGCAGCTTAATGACTGAAAGCCATGTCTGAATTCTTCGATACAGTTGCGAGCGACACGCAATTACGCGCGAATCGCGATCGAGACGAGTAGAACCTCGCGAGTAGAAGTATGCAAAGCTCTCACACCCTTCCTTCTCTTCTTCTCGGATTATTGCATTTACTTTGTTCTGCCTATCTGAGTGATAAGAATCGAGCGATAAGCACACAGTGCACTTTCAACTTCGCTAATGATAATTTCTATGGTGCCGCTTCATGGTACCGATGAAGTTTGCGGCACGATCCGACATTGTCTCGAGCCTTGAATCTTCACGTGTACTCCGTCGTAGAGCTAGGGACGAAGGAGAGAAAGACGGGCGGCAGTGCGGCGGAGAGCCCCGACAGCGGAAGAGAACGAGTAAGATTTCGCACGGCGCAACGACGATGGGGAAAGTCACGTTGCTCGTTCGTGTCTCGAGAATCGCGAAGTTTAGACGCTAACTCACGACGACGAGTTTCTCCGGGTTTGCACCACGAGATGCAGGAGCACCGCGGCAAGCAGACAGCTTACGGACTGCTTGCAGGATCGAACGCAAGATGTTGAGACACGAGAGGTGTCGAGCTTTGAGAAAGGAAAGGAAACAAAGGGCCGGTTTGTTTCACGTCGTCTCATCCCCCCTTCCCCTCTTTCTCTTTCTCTTCAATTCTTGTGTTCGCTCGGTAGATAGATAACTACATAGGTCGCTCATATCGCACCTTTTCGTAAGCAGGAAAATTGCCTCTCGATTGACCACAAGAGACTATTCATGGATTATCTTATCTTTTGCATTTTGCAATCACAATCGCCTTTTTATTTTCCCTTCATGTTCAATTAGAATTACTCGTAGAATTAGAGTTACATATTGCACATTCGAAATACTAGCTTGTCGGGCAGAAATATTTAAAAAATTATTTACGAAACTGTTATCCTTTTGGATTCTCTCCCTAAGACTATCGTTAACTTAACTTCTCCCTAGTTTAAGCGAGCACTAAGGTGCTTCCTACTGAAGCTGAAGTAACATTCTGACTGCATAATGAATAAGTTAATATATAAATATATGTTTATTTTGCATTTGTATGTATATTATGCACTCATCCGAATATTATTTTTTAAATTTGCGTTGCTTCTCTCTAGCTAGTAATTTTTCGTCTGTACTTTCCATTTCTTTCAATGACACACGTCATGCGCCTTAACTTTATTATTAAATCTGTTAACTTATTCAACTTATGCTTCCTGTTATTGAAATCGTATGAGTGCTGCTTTGAATCTCTCAATCATTCTGTGCATTTGTGAAAACTCCAAGGGATGAATAAGCTTAAGAAACGTATCAAATATTCTATTTTACTTTTCTTTGTCTTGTGTATACGTTCCTTAGTAACAACTGCCTTAGTAACAACTCTGTCATCTTTTGGTACAAGCAAGGATTCATAAATCTTTGTTTGAAAAAAACTAATATTTTTGCATCGCATCGCCTACTTCAGTCTCTGATCGTTTTTCTAGCAGCTGAAGTAGAATAAGAAAAGAGCTATAAAATGCTCGAATAAGAAAAACGTTTTCTTCTGACATTGATAAAAGAGCGAGCAAGCTAGGAACTGTCGTGTCGCCTGACGTGTAGCTCTATCCTTTAATTCTCTCTCTCTCTCTCTCTCTCTCTCTCTCTCTATTTTTATTTAGTGGAGTTAAATACTTTACACACACACACACACACACACGATATTTTTATTGAAAAAATCCAACTTCTGGAAATGTGCGTATAATTTTTGCTCGCGCTTGAATTGACACAACACATAGCATAGAAAATGCATCGTTTTAATTTACGCACACGACGGGTGCCTCTTTGAAAATATTCCGATACAGTATCAGATGTCGTTTCTCGTATCTGTAGTAATGCATTTCCGAGTCATCGATATGAATACGCGCAGCGGTAGGGTCGCATCCAAATTGTAGCGAGGCCGTGGATGTATGAGAAACTGATGGCGGGCCGTAAATCGAAAAAACCGACATGCCGAACATAGACTTCCTCTTCATGAGGCCCGTCACGTAGCGCCAACAGAAGTTCGATTTGAGAGCGACGCGCGGGCGTAAAGCTCGCTGCAGAGTCGATTGTTCTACGACCGAAGACGAATTGGAGCACTTGCGCAGGTAATCCTGACTTTCATCGAGTCAGCGATAGGTGCGCGCGGGAGTTCCCCGGACTCCCGGGGCGACCTCCGCCGGGGAGATCCGACACGGAATTCACGGCGTAGCGACAAAGAGAAGAATATAGAGGCCGCGCAATCCCGCAACGAAGTTGCACGTCAAAAGGGATCAGTATGCCACGGAGCGCGAAATTTTCTTTGCCGATCGCGCTCGCGCACGGCCGCGCACGGCTGCGACTTTTCCTCCCTCGTCATATCCCTGTGTCTCCAAAGCTTCCCATTCTTTTCTCTTTCTCTCGCGACGCATTCCGTCTCCCTCCTTTTGCTGTTTGACTTCGTCCTCTTCCTTCCTGTTTGCGCCGACGCGCCAATTCCGTTCTTCCGATCGCGGAAATTTTTCCCTCGCCGGAGGGATGAAAAACTGATCGGAAATTCCGGTGGAACTGTTGGAAGCGTGTCTCGGATACCGAGAAGGATCTATCTAGTCAGGCGGTCGTCGGTTCATCACATGATCACATACACACACTCATTCTCTCTTTTTTCGTCTTGCGCACGCGCGCGCGCGCGCGCGCGGATATGAAAATCACACTATTGATATATGAGTATCAGCCGCCATCAGTTGAAGACTCACGTTTGAGCACACAGTTGTAAGAGCGAGCCTGATAATGAAATTTGTAATTTTTCGTCCACGCGCGATCGTGATTCACGACGAATTGATATAATTGATATAATATAAAATGCAACGTGATATTCTTTTTTCTTCATCGATATACGACGGGCTGCTCTTTGAATATTCCGGTGGAGTATCAGCCGCCGATCCGTACGTCTAATGTCCGTGTCGTTTTGGGTTACTCCAGGATACACGAATACGATCGTAGATGCAAATACACAGGGACGTCCGCGCATTTAATGCTGGCGGTGCAATAAATCGCGATCCTGTCCTGAATTTATAATTGGTCGTTTCTTCGTACTGCGAATCGCGCTGTTATGCACGCGGACTGCGTGATTTCATTTGATGAGGATTGGTTGAATATCTGGGGTATTAGAATTAAAGAAATATCTTCGTGATGAGGGTATAACAGAGCGATATGCACAATAATAATATAATAATAGATGGCGATAAATCGACTGTGCTGTAGGAAGAAGGTTATAAACTGCGAAATTATTTTCGAGTTAGATTCGTTTTAATATTCGAGTTTTAATAGAGGCATTGAATCATCGATTTTCGCGGTGAAAACAGAGCTCGAAAATAGCATCGCTGCGGTACGTCGGACAGTGATAATTTTCCCACCGGGTCGTTTGCATAATTAAAAATAGTTTCTGTTGTTCTTTGCCGTTTCTTCCTTCGCGATTTCTGGCATATGCGATAACCGCAAAAAAATCCGAATGGTCGTTAAACGAGAGAGGAATGGTAAAGAACTTCGCTTTTTATTTGCGCTAGCGAAATCATTCGATATTTCGCTGGATTATCTCGAAGAGGACGTTTTTTGTTGACGATTTCGCGAGGCGATTCACGGCTCGCCTTACGAATAAGATCGGTTCCGAGATAAAATGACCCATATACAAAACGGGGTCTCAACAGCTGACGGAGGAGGCAAACAGAAGCGGCTGAGTAAAGTCGTTAATCCTGGAGAGCTCACACGGAATACAGCGTAATTCTACTTTCGAAGTCCGGCATTTGGATACTGAGCGGAAGAGAGATGAACGCGTCGGTATGTCGGTCGTTGGTATCAGCTGATTGCAAGCATTTGTTGGCAAGATGTACGTTCTTGAATCACGCTGAGATACTAAATTACACAGTGTGACTAATTACGCGAATTTGTTCCGTCGGACCCCGGAGGAATCTTGAGTCAGTAGCGCGAAGAATGTCCTAGAAGTGAGGAATATATATTTTCCTTTTTTTATTTAACTGTCGCTCAGATAATCCCCCCCCCCCGTTTTCCAGACGTCGACGATACGGCATTTCCAGTTACGGAACTATTAATTTCAACTGTCAACCTTGGCAAAATGACGTGATTTTGATTAAGCGAAAAGTACTCGCTTATACAAATACATTTTCCTTTCTCGCATTCGCATGTTCTGTGTATTTGGACGTTGCAATCAGTGCAAAGCACGATTCTAAAAACACTGCGAGGTCGAAATTTTCGAAACAGATCGGATATCGCGGAGTCGCCTTTATCGTGAACCGGTGCTTTAAGAGGTATACTTCAAAGGTGGGCCAGTAC